TATTGAGCATTTTAATTATAATTTTTATTTAGAAATCAAACCTTTATAAGCATTGTTGATCCTGTGTTGATCCTTTTTGGTTATGAGAAAAACAAAACAAAACAAAACTAGGGCGAGAATGACCTGAAAATGTGGAATGAATGTAAAATTGTCCGAGCAGGATGATGACACAATACTTAATGAACATCCAAAGTACAAGGATTGAAATTGACCACTAGATGGGTATGGCCTCGTTTGGAAGCCTGAAGAAAGGATGAGGCCTGTTTACTGTACCTAACTTGTGTTCATAGCCAAAATAGTGAGCCTGAATTGGTCTCTGAATGTGGGAGAGCCCTCTTTCTCCACTGATTGACAATTACTTGCAAATGGGCATGTTTCTGCCCCAAAGTCCCCTATAATCAGTATATTTCTGCATACACGTCATGGCTAATGCTTACATACACATGACCTGCCCTAGCACCCATCTCTGTGAGTCCTGGTGTATGCCATGTATGTTTTCATAGAAATTGTGTAGATTTTTCTTTAAAGTTATCCCTCACTAACAAGGTGTATGAGTGTTTACAATGTCTCTAACATTATAAGGCCCTCTATTAATTTTTTATTTTATAATTTTTAAAAAATAATTTTAAAATAAATAGTGTGAAAAATTCAGGGTGAAAAATTCAAATGGTATAAGAGAGCACTAAGTTAGAAGGTAAGTCTTTCCATTTGTGTCTCCCAGTTACCCAATTCCCATTCTCAGAGACAACCACTGTTACATACACACACACATACACACACACATAGCACATACTGGTAGCACAACATTCAAACAATACTCAGCCTTCTTTTTTTTCTTTTTTAAAGATAGTTTATATTAATTTATTTTGAACAAAAAAAGTACCATTTGAATAAGAAAAATTAACCTAAAAATACCTCAATCAATACTAGTTTTGGATGTTTATAGAATATCAGCTAACAAAATCTGTAATTAAAAAGAGAGAAGTTGGAAGGAATTTACAATTTCATATGCTTTTTAAAGATCACTTCAGGAAGCAATCCAGTTCTGATTACAGCAATACGATGGACTCAGCGTCTGGATAAAACTAAATTTCTAGATAAAATATTGACAAACATCTTTGCAAACACATCTCAGCAGGCAGAAAAATAAGAGAAAATCTTGACGTCTAGAAATAATTAGAAAACACAAGTGTAGCAGTGCAAGGAGACACAAGAGCTGACATTTGCTTGGGAGACTCCTATTAGTGCTAAAAGACCTTCAGCTTATATTTCAATGTGCCTGCAAAGACTCAGGAGGCCAAGCCAGGGGCCCATGTTAGGTAGAAAGTTGGACCAGAGACCCTTACCTGGAGGTGCAACCTCCCAAAGATGATACACAAAGTGAGTCAACTGGAAAAATGCCGACCCTTGAAAAGCATTGGAAGGGATGCTTTCCTGTCTTAGCCTTCACAGTAGGTGAAATGAAAAAAACTAGTTCCCTTTGAGAATTCAGTCAGAAGCACATTCTCAGGCAGATTTGGTGTCAGAATTCACATTACTCGTTTGGCCTGAAATAGACCAAGTGTAAAATGGTGTTCTGTTGTAGTACCCCCAGATGATCTATAGCCACAAACGCACATCCTCTGTGCACAGGTGACTTTAAACCCAGCCTCAAGAATTCCCACAAAGAACCAAGGAATATGCGCTCCTAGTCAAAAATTATAAAAGATAAAAATTAATAAGTCACCAAAATCCAGAAGAAGCACCAAGCAATAGGATGAGGTCCACAAAGACTACAGATATTGGCTTTATTATATAAAGAATATGAAGTAAGAATGTTAATACATTTTAAGAAATAAAATATATTAATAGTATCAAAAGTATTTTGCAGGAACAAGAAAATTACCTCGGAGATCTGACCAAGAAATTTGACAAAGAATTTCTAAACAAAAAGAATATATAATAATTAATTTAAAATTTAAAACTCAATGAATAAATTAAACAGCAGATGAGACAGTGAAATGGAATATAGATCTGGAGTAGTTACCAAGAATGCATATGGATAGGCAAAGGAATGGCAACTGTATGAGAGAGGTTAGGAGACATAGAGAATGGAGTCAGAAGCCTAATAAGCATAGTCAGAGTTGCAGAAGGAAAGGATAAAAAGAATGGGAGAGAAGTAACATTTGAAGCAAATACCACAGACATTTCATTAAGAAGTAACAAGAAAGTTTAATATACATATGGAAAATGTTGGACTTCATTATTAATCAGGCAAATGCAAATTATAACCAACATGAAATACTATTTCATACCCACAAAATAATCTACAATACCTTTTAAATGAAAATGGGGAGCAGTGAAATGCTAATAAATAGCAGACGAAAGTATAAACAGGACAATCATTTTGTTACCTAAAAATATTCTGTTGATAATAATGACTGTGAATGTGGAATAAATCAGCCAAGTTAAGTTTATTCATCTCTTCATTCAATCGATTAATATTTACTGAGCACCCATATTCAGGAATTAGGATTAAAAAAATCAGTCTTTGCCAAAAGTAGCTTGGGATGTAGTGGGTTAGATAATCAAAGATCACACAAATAAAGATAAAACTAAAACTGAATCAAAAAAAAAAGAGGGGGGGATGCATAAGAGCTCATAAGAGTGGGGATTAGCTGCAAAGGTCAGGGAAGGCTTTTTGAAGAGAATGATGACTGAGATGAGCCAAGAGAGAAGAGAGGGTAAGTGGAAGAAGGTGGTGGTGGTGGCTAGGGGAATTGCTGCTGAAAGAGGAAACAACATATGCAAATGCCCTGATGTTGAAGACAACATTTAGCTGTATGAACTGAAAAAAAGGCCATTGTGGTTGGAACAAAGGGAGGGAGAGATTGAGGGAGAATACGATGGGGAAGGGAGGAGCGCTGGTGGCGGTCAGACCAGCTGGGGCTGCAGAAGTAGGCATAGGCTGGAGAAGGAAGGAAAGGCTTGGGGCCATGGGAAGGGTTTGGGCTTTTATACTAGGACAACGAGAAGTTACTGACCTGTTTTTAAGCAGGGGACTGAAATGATCAGTGGAATGAACGGGGTAAAAGTAAAATAAAAAGACCATCGATTCATTATAAATCTAAAAACTCCATTAGGAAATAGAGTTAAAAGTCTTTGTAACCACATTTCTCTGCTCACTTGTATGTGATTGTGCCAAGAATGGCCCCATTCCCAGTTACCAAAGTACTTTTGTGCTTTCACACTACAAGCTCAGCTCTGCCTGTGACAGTACAATCGGGATGGTACCCCTGATTGGTAAGTCTTCCCCCACCTCCTCAACAATAGCACGTGAAATTTAAGCCTCACTGGAGATTCACTTAATGATGCAGGAAGCATAACTGAACACATTTACTGCTTTGCAGCCAAAGTAAATGATTTCTCCATTGTTGAGAGTAAAAATCAATTCGTCAGTAAATGAAGCAGATATGATTCAAAAGCAGCAGAAGGACACTGAGAAGTAAAATGTACTGTGTCTTTTCTGCTCATGATTCTGTTCATTACAAAACAGCAACCATTGGAGGCCACATTCCCATTCTGAAGTTTACAGTACAGCAAACTATTCCAGATTCTCAGTGCCTGTGGCCCTTGACAGCTCCAACTCCTTTCGTTTTAACAATTTTATTGATGTACCATAAATGGTCCATATTTAAAATGTACAATTTGATAAGTGTTTTTTGTTATTGTTTTAAATTTATTTTTCAGTTACAGTTGACATATAATATATTAGTTTTAGGGGTATAACATATCGATTACACATTTATATACCTTACAAAGTGATCACCTCAATACAATTGGATAAGTTTTGAGATATGTATACACCTATGAAATCATCACCACAATCAAGATAATGACATATCCGTGAATTCCCAAATTTCTTTTTGCCTCTTCCTACCCTGTCCTGTCCCTCCTCCGCTCCAAGCAACTCAAATTTAAATTTAATCATTCTTTTAATCAAAGTTGCAGTAAATTTATAAGATCGGTTGGAATGCAATCTCTAAAAGGCTCTTTCTGATCTGTTATCCAATTCACTGTAAATAGTAAATATCCACCATGCAGATTAAAGTCACTCTGTAGAATAAAACCTATTTATTTCCTCAGGAGTTTTAAGTCTTTAGGAATAATTAAATTTTTCTAAAACTCCTGAGTTGACGGTGCTGCTGGGAAGGAATGTAGCCGCAAGTCCTGTGGTTAACTCCACCATCATTAATGTTTACATCCACCTTTCAGGTCTCACTTGTAATGAGGAGGAAGGAATAGTTTCCACGAAGGGCACCTCTGTTCAGAGCATTGAACTTGTCCTCCCACCCCATGCAAACCGTCATGGAAATACATTTGATGGCCAGATTATGGCTTGGATGGAGACGGTGGTTACTGTTTCTGCAAGGTTCTTAGTTTTGACCTTCAGTGTGTGATGTTGGGACCAGTGGGGAGAGAATAGAAAGGGTCTGAGACCCAGTTATTAGGCAAGTCAAGGAGACAAGAAAAGGACAATGTTGCATTTATCAAAATGAGAAAACAATAAGTCATTTACTGTTTACCTTAGGGTTAATCTGTCCTTTTGTTTGAAGGTGAATGTTTAAATTCTTGGTTCAAAAATAAAAATGAAATGACAGTTCTAATACTTTATTCTGAATTATAAATGTTGCTCTTGTGACACTGCAACGCCTTTTAATGCTAGTATAACAAAGTAGATGCAGAATAGAAATAGAAGAGAGCCTTTATACTTAAAAATAGTTGTTATAAACTTTTTTAAAGGCAATTTGCAATTATGTCTGACCTTTGAAGGTGCTAGTTAGAATTATTATGGCCAAGGAATTAACTGAAAGATAAGAGGAGGAAAGAGCTTGGAAGTATACCTTTTTCAATGTTCCTCAGTTTTAAAAAGGTTATATTTTATTCTTAGTAGAACTATGTAGGTAATTGGGCAGCTATAAAGGACATGTGTACTCCGAAAATACATTTGAACAAGATCTGCCCTTCTGACAACTTTTGTAACCTCTAAATATTAAGGTTTTATTTTCTGAAAACTAAATTTATTATTAATATGTCTCTAGTTATGACTATACTTAGAAACCTGTAGTTATCCTTCCTATAAATTGTGCACAAATATAAGGCAGCTTTTTTTAAAATGAGATTGTCATTCTTAATGACAATAAAGCATTTGAACCTATTTTATTGTAAAGCTTACAATATAATTAACTATGGCAGAGTCTGTTCACTTAGTGTTGGTACAATTCTTTAGAGTTATTGAATGATTACAGTAGGAATCTAAAATGTAGACAATTATAGAAGTAATTTTCTGAGATTAAATATTCTTTATAGATATTTCAAAATTTTGCACACACAAAGATTATAATATGTGTAACGTATAGCCTTTCAGGATTTGTGCAGCAATCCAGGTAATTTTTCTGTGGGTAGGAAAAGTTAGTCTGTTGATTTTGTGGGTGAATCAGCTAACTATAAAGCTAAGGAACTGTTGAGAATGGCACCAGCTGGCAGTTCAAGCCACAGTTTCTGGTGATTGTAATCATGATCTGTTAGAGTGAACATAACCCTCAAATTAGAACAAAAGGCATAGGTTTGTTTTTTGTAGGGATTTCCATGAGGGAAGAAACAAGATCAGGACTGTCACCACAAGAGCAGAAGCACCAGCATCTTGGTAAAGATCCCACAGATTAGGAACATGGTATTTCCAAAAATATTTGCAGGTAGTGTATGGAACCACTCTCAACACACACAATCCAGTTATTTTACTAGAGTTAAAAGAGATGTTTATTTAAAAACCACACTGAACGCTGGTCTGTTGAGCCCATTAAGCTAATCAACAGTTCCTGAAAATATTTTGGAAAATGATAGATTTCTTCTCTCTCTCCTTCCCTTTGTTTCATCAGCTGCCTGTGTCAAGTTCACGCATTTCTGAAGTCCATGGACATGTTTAAGTTCCGGGGACCATCTACAGTTGGAGATTATCTTGTCTTCAATGTCCTTGTCAACAATACATTTCAGACCTGGTAAAGTATGTTTAGTGCTCCTAGGCTGCTATAAATGAATTCAAACTTGCACATAAAAATTTTTAAAATTTTTAATTTCAATTTGGAGATAAGTATATGGACTGCTTTAAAGTGACCAAGCTCTTTCTATTTTTTTTTTGAAACTTCATTTAATCTTCAAAATTTGTAGACATGCATTTTAACCCTGTGTTCTGCTTGAGGCCCCCTTACACTGAGTAAATTGTGATAGGTTGGTTTTTATCTCTCATAATAAAGTGACTGTATGTCTCTGTTGATCCAGGACAGTCCTGGTTTATGCCTGTCGTAATTATTAACTCTTCCTTTCACTCTCAAAAGAGTCCCAGTGATTATATAGTCAACAAATTCATAATGGACCGTCATTTATTCAAACCACTTCCCAGTTATTTTTATTACTCTTAATATACAATGAAAAGACTTAATTTAGTATTTTTCCTTTTCTTTAAAAAAAATCTATATTTCCTGTTCAACTTTAGTTTTTGATGCTTTTTAATTACTGAACTATTGTTTTTTAGGGGAGAAAAATTGACTTAGGCACAATTTAACGCCCCCTCTCCATTACCGAAACATATTTACGAGTGTATACAGAGTTCCAGCTGGCTTTTTTCCTACTTAAAAGTGGGAAAGTAAAGTGGAAATGCTCCCAGGAGCTTGTATATTAGATCCATCAACCCGGTAAAATGGATTTTAACAGTTGCATACATTTGCAGACAACAAAGAAAACACCCAGGATCCTCTTTCTCTTCTTGCTTGGAGGAGGAGGTGGTGGTGGCAGTGGGCAGAGGAGGCCTAGCATGCTCTAGTTCTCTGCCCACTGCCCTCTGCCGCCCTTCCGCAGTGTCGAATTGAGAGTGTGCGTGGAGGCCTCTGACTGCCAAGAGAGGTGGTAGGGCTGGGGTGTCATATCAACAGTGCTTTTCTCACTTATAATACTGTTGATGATAAGGAAGAACTGATCGCATTTCCAAGAATTGAACCCATATCAGAGGTCAGTTGTTAGCACATGAGGTTCAGAAATTAGACTACTTTTCTGAGGGAAGCTACGGGTACAGAGCTCTGCCAAGAATCTCTCCTCTCACCAGCAACAACCTCCGTTGGCTGTTCCCCTTTGGTTTTCTTTCTTTTCTGCATCACAAAGTAAAATGGACTTCTTCCCAAGTCACTCTAATCATTCATGGAAATGATGGGGCCCTAACGACCTCACCTCTACCTAGCCACGTGCTACTGCTGGAAGCGTATGGTCTTATGTGTCCCATTTCTGACTCTCCTCTCACCTTGCATCCCGTCTCGGTGCTGCTTCACATTCATCGGAACTATGCCTTTCCTTCAACCTACAGTTGCCTTATTGCCAACTCTCACCCAGGGAGAGTTCACACAGAGACACCGTGTCCCAGTTAGCCTCTTCAACTGACTGAGGAGAGAGAGACTTAAGGATTCTGACAATAAAATATTAGAAATATATTGATTGTATTTGTTTTTTAATTAAAGGATGATTTTAGACAATATCATGGAGATATTGCACACGAGAGAATTCGCCTAGGCAGGTAAGGGACATAGGTGTAAAGATTATATGGAATAGTTTCCATATGTAACCAAGCGCCCTTCCCTGGGTCTCTCTGTTCCCACATAATATAAAAAGAGAAGGTCTGATGCTTTCTGACTGTGAAGGCTACTGTGATGGAAATTGTTCTTCCTGAGTGTTCTACCAGCAAAAGCAGCTTTTAAAAACTGCTGATTTCAGTTCAAGAAAATGTCATAGTTACTGTTGTATGCAAAATGCAAGAAGAAAACTGTTATTTAACATTTTAATTTTTTTTTCCAGAAAATATGTTATTTCTCACAAAGAAGAGATTCTACTTTGCGTACACCGGGATATTAGCAACCAGGTGACAGTTTTATGATTTGGAGCTCTTCATGTAAAAATCACATCATTACAAAAATGCAAACACCCTTGTTTAAGTGATTCAGGTTGTACCTACACAGATTACATGAAAAGGTGAATTATAGCAACCAGTCATGTCAAAATGAAACAAAACCAGGCTATCAATAACTGGTTACCAACCAGTTGCTTCTTTGCCGGGTTTGAATTATACGTATGGTTCCAAAATTACAGACTCAAGATGCTCTGGTAGCATCTTGATGCATTCAGGTAGCATGGGACACTGAGGTCTGGTATCTTAACATGATTTGTGCTGAATGACATGCCCACCAGCTTGCATTGTCATAACACAGCAGTAAAGTATTAGTTGTTTTAATGTTTTTGACCACCAAATGTAAAGGGAAATCCAAATTTATAAGTCATACTAAAGGGTAATCTTGTCTTTTTTTGCAACACCAATTAAAATGATACTACTTTGCTAAACTTACAGGCCTACCGTTACCTTATCTGAATTCTGAATTAAGATTTGAGACAGAAGGTATGTTACTTGTACATGATTCTAAGCTCAACATAATTACTTTGGCTCTAACAGTGCCCATTTTCTAAGAAGCAAATATTTGGTCACATATCTGTGCTTTCAAAATATTTGCATTTTAGGTATCCCTGAGAGATGGCAATGCAGAGGCTCTCAAAAAGCTGGTGGTTGGGAGGTCACCAGTTCTGCGGAAAAGGTAAGAGGCATCCAGGTAGATGCATAACTCATTGTCCATCATGCATAACTCATTGTCCATCACACACAACTCATTGTCCATCACAAATGAAAGTTGTCACGGTGGTGGTGGTTATTCTGCTTGTGACACTGCTTTTAAGAAGGTAAAAAATCTTCTAGAAAACTATTTTTAAAAGCCACACACCTTTCCAGCCCTATCTGCTACTCCGTGCTGGCTGATTTATGGTCCTTTAAGTACACCCTCCGCATTCCAACCTCTGAGATTAGTTCTCAGATTCCACCTCTCTCTTCCACTCCACCTGCCCAAATCCTACCTGATCCTCAAGACCCAGGACAAATGCTACTCTATAAATGCTACTCCTATCACCACTGACTGAAGGAACTTCTCCCTCTAGGAATTCCTTTAGCAATTACTTCTCGAAAATTAATTTGTCAATTAATTATGCACTATCTTGTGACATTTCTTCTACAGCTACATTGAATTGATTAAAGTCTTACATAATAATTTAACTTCTTATACATGGTCGCAGTTATGTACTAGATTATAAACTTCTTAAGAAAGAAGCCTTGTCTTGACTTCTTTGTATCTCTCTTAGCACCTTTTACAATGTTTTGTGTGTCATCAAATTTGAATAAACATATATCATTTGGATTTTAAATTTATCTAATTTCAGAGGCAAAATTAGGAGACCCTCTGAAGCTGTTGCCCACACCAACTAGAGTGTAAGCTCTCTGAGGACTGCTTTACTCACCACTTACAGTCCCAGGACTTAGCAGTGGCTGGCACTCAGGAGATGCTGGCTTTTTGTGCTCCCATGTCAGTGTGTATTGTTTTACATCGTCAATGAAACAGTTGCCTCTAAAATAGGGTAACTATATTTTCTGATTTTCCTAGGACAGTTCCTGGTTGTCCTATCATAATTAACAGTGCTTCAGTGTTCCATTTTGGGTAATAAATTATATGGTCACTTACCCTGAAATTGAAGCAAACTCAGATGCTACTTCATTGATTCTTTTCAACTCTGACTCTGACCTCCTCTCTGTGTTTTGTTCTGGGTTGTTGGCTCTTATTATGTCTTTGTCCTCACTACCGAATCCTTTCAGGGTCTTCTCTATGCTCTTTGGATCCTGTTAGGTTTCTGGCTATGCTTGGTTCAGTGATGCAAAAACACAGGTTTAACATGACAGTTCTTTCTTTCTCTTTATCCGTCATGAAAAATGCTACAAGGCTGTTTTCTTTTAGTAATATGAAATATGCTTCTTGTGTCATTACTAGCATCTGGACACACATGAGCAGCATGAGAAAGGACAGACTAACTCGTCTAGAATGGAGGAAGAGAGCATATTGAGTGAAGTCATAAAACATATTAAAACTTCAGTTCTTCGGGAGTTGGGGCCAGAAACAAACCTAAACAAATAAATGGTATATTTACTAGTGTCTAAAGAGAGCCATCAATAATTAATTTTTAATTTTTGTAGAGATACTTACTAAAAGATATTGTATAATTAAAGGAACATTCTTATGTTATCTCTTTTTAACTTGAAGATTATATTATGATAAAAATATGATTTTTTCTGAGTATTCTTTTCTCTACTTTTTAATGCTTTTATATTCTTTTAATTTGAAAATACAGTTCTATTATTTCTTTCTGTTACCTTTTAGTTGAGTAATTCTTACAATATAACTGTCAAGAATCATATTTATTTCAGGGTTTAAAATCTATACTTAATTTTTTTTAAATTTATACTTATTTTTGATATAAATTAGATGGCAAAAGTTTAAGGTTTCTGGTATTTGTAATGAAATTGGGCAGTACTTGCTATTTTAACCTTTATTTCATTTTCAATGTATAATGATGGAATTAATAATAGTTATAATACAAGGAGCAAAAGGTATACTCTCATCTTAAAGAAGCTTATAGTTTATTTTGGAAAAATCACATATACATGAAACAGCTGAAGAATAATTTTAAGGTAGTTTTTAAACAAGTGAGAGATTGTAGTGTTTAAACCATAAAGGTCAGCTCTTAGGCAATTTAAAGTAAGGGAGGACAGTTACTTAGAACTATGGAGAGGGGGTGATTCTTTTCACTTTGAAGGTAGTATAAGAAGTAGATTGCTGGAGGGGTAAAGGGAGCTTTCTAGGCAGAGAGTAGCTTGAGCCAAATCCTCATAGTGGACATTAACATGGGTAGGAGACTGGCCTGACAAGAGTAGCTTTTTATTTAGGGAGTAGCTGAGGGTATAGTGTAAAAGTTATGGTGAAAGTCAGAATGGCAGGGACCACTTGAAAACTTTTATATTGGACAAAACCCAGTACAGGAAAGAAACCAAAGGGAGTTATTCTCGTTAAAGCTCACAAGTAGCTGGTCCCAGAGCTCCCTCTGACCAAATCTCATCCCCTTAACCATCAGGCACCACCAAGGAAAGTTAGCTACCCCGCTCTGAGACCCCTGTAAAAACTAGTTTTGTGTTCCTCACAATTTAGTCTCAATAATATATTTGTCAACAGATAGTATAAAATTCTATAATTTTGAGTTATTTCTTCTTATAATACCTATATGACATCTAAACCTATTAAACATAATCATATTAGTATGAAAAATATATAGAGATATTCATAAAATGTTAGCAAACTCTGGCAGATTTTGAGCCTACTTACTTTAAGTTTCATTTCATAGAATAAAATTCTCCATGTACCAATTGGTACAATGTATGAATTGGTTATAAATGGAATTTAACCTGTGTTCTTCTGAGAATGAAAGGGAATTCATTTTCTTGAAGAATTGGTCTTGGAGAATTTTTTCACTAAGCAAAAGTTGGGTTTTCTAAAATAGTAGGATTTAAAGAGAGCTGCCTTTCTTTGTCTGCTTTGTCTGCATCAGTGTCACTGATTCTGATAGCAGAGCCATGAGAAGGACTTTCTGCTACCTTCACCTTCTGGGGGAAGGATCAAAATATCATTTACACATCCAGTACTGTACTTTGCACTAGATAAGTCTAGGGATATCTATAAGTGCAGAATTCAGTGGTGGCTATTTAGCCTGATGTTTGCTCTGGGTCCAGGATAGGAAGCAGCAGCCTGTGTGTAACACCTGGGGAGAAGTTTCCTGGAAAAGTGGTTTGACATTTTCCTAGAACTGCCATAACGGTACCACAAACTGAGTGGCTTAATCAACAGAAATGTATTGTCTCACAGTTACGGAAGCTAGATGTCTGTGATCAAGGCATTGGCAGGGTCGATTCCTTCTGAGGGAGTGAGGTAAATCTTTTCCAGGCCTCACCCCTAGATTCTGGTGGTTTGCTGGCAATCTTTGGCATTCCTTGGCTCATAGATGTATCACCTGACCTCTACCTTCATCTTCATGTGGCATTCTCCCACTGTGCATGTCTGTGTCCAAGTTTCCCCTTTTTATAAGGATGCTGGTTATATTGAGTTAGGGGCCCATCCTACTGCAGTGCGACCTCGTCTTAACTAATTATGTCTATAGTGACCCTATTTCCAAATAAGGTGACATTCTGGGGTAATGGGGTGAGGACTTTAACATATGAATTGGAGGGGGCGGGGGTGCAGTTCAGCCCTTAACCAGTGCTCAGCTCAGTATTATATCCCACTCCATCCTGAATCCACCAGAGTGGACCATGTCTGCCCCAAGGCTAGAATCTAACCGAGGTTGTAGAACAGAATGCAACCTGGCCACCTGCCATCACTTCAACTAAGATTGTGGAGCCCCAATCAACCTGGCTTAGAGCCACATGGCCACTAAGCTTTGACAAGATGACTTTCCTCTGAATTTACACCAGTGAACCTCCTTCTACTCCTACTATACAGGAGGCAAAGTTTGGCATGTCTGTGGTGGGTGAGTTTCAGCCACCAACTGGAGCCCCATCCATAATCTTTCTGTTTGATAAGTGCCCAGAGCTGATGTCATGTCCTCCTTTGTGGGCTCTATTTAAAGGCAAGCTTGGCACTGAGGTCAATTGGAAAGGTAAAATGACATAAGCAAATAGTCGCTTCTTTCCTTTCTAAGCTGCTTTCAGTTGGTTTCTCATTTCTTCATTCTCTTTTTGAAGATATTTATATTTAAATAAAGGTTTTTTTTTCCCTCATGGCCTGATTTTTCCATCTGCTTGATTCCTGCAGTGAAGTTTTAACCCTATGTTTGTCTGTCTTCTCACAGCTTGTTGCCATGGGAATTGTTATAAGATGGCAAATTTCAACACTAACTTTAAAGCGTCCTGAAAGAGACAGAAAAAAATGGGCAGGATAGAAATGTGCTCTTAGCTGAACATATATATCTGATTATTGGCAAAAGCACAATGGAAGGAAAGTTCAGAATAACAAGGGATACATTAATGTTTAAATATATGTTAAACGGCTCCCCAAGACAGGCCACTTCTTATCTGAGGAATACTAAGCATAGACAGAAACCCGGGAATTGGCCTGCCAGCAGGATATGCCCTTGTGATTCACAAGAGGAAGAAAGCTTTGTGCCGAAGAAGCATGGTGCTTCAGCTGCACCACCGAGAGATTGAGTTGGTTCCAGAGATGGTCGGCTTACCTCCTTGGGTTGCTTTGACCTACTTGGAGGCACACTTGACATCCTGGCAAAGTGGCCGAGGCTGTAGCCTTAGCTCCAGAGTCTTGGTGGGGAGATGAGGCACTGACTTGCCTAGCAGTCTGATCATGTTTTCTGTTGTTCCTGAGCAGCGGCAGGGAAATATCGCAAAAAGATAAACAGAGAAAGGTGTACATTCTTTATCTTTCATGAGAAAAACGGTTGCAGAAAATTAAATAACCCACCCTCAAGTCATATATTATTTGGAGGACACAGAGTGTAGTATCCTGGTTAGGGCTCTAGACATCTAAGTATTTGAAGTGAAAGTGCCATCATTTGGCTTCATTGTTATCTGGGTCCAAGGTACCTAAGCTAGTACCATCAACCTATGACTACATACGTTTGTGGTTTTTAAAATAAAAACATCCATGTTTCTTTTGTAATTTATCTTATCTTTTAGATAAAAATATATACTCTGGAAGAGCATGTGGAAATACCGGCACACTTGGCTTATCATCTCTTGTCTGACTTTACTAAGCACTTTGTGGGACCCCCATTCTGTGTAAGAATAAATTTAAAATATGTTCTTAATCAACCCTGACATCATGGAAAAGATGACTTCCACGTTATAGTACATCTCCATTGCTTGACATGTGACTTATTGTTTTATTAATTAAAGTGTATTTTTTAAAGCTTGCTGTGCAGAGAAAACTGCATCAAGTGCTGTTGAGAGACACAAAACCAAAATTATTATAATCGCTTATTTATCATCTATATCGAGCTGATGTGCTTTACCCACATCTATTGTAATCCTACCAATAACTCTTCAAGTTTGATATTATTTCCATTTAACAAGCAATAAAGCGACAGAATCCAAATTGGAATCCAGGTCTGTCAGGCTCTGAAATTGACACTCTTGTACTTGAATACACGACCTCATTGCTTTCGAGGAAGTGGTTATCAAATTGTTCTTCTCACTTACCACTCTTGATATTTAATTGGCGCTTCCTTTTTTTTTTTTTTCTTTCTGTGAAGCAGCACTCCCTGGTGAGAAACTGAAAGTAAGTTGTATGAGAACTGAGGTGAAAGGCATTCCTTCCTGCTCTCCCTGTCTGATCAGGGCCCACTCCTGTCAGTCTCCATCTCTTCTGTTACTTTCCTGTCTCCTGCATCCCTAATTCAGTCTCCTCTACTCTCCTACCTTTTCTGGAACATGGAGCTGTGCACCTTGTCCACTGCACTGACAGGGACTGGTTGCACTGAGGCCACACCCCTTCTCCAAGGAGTTCCAGCTCTTGGGCTACAGCACCCAGGGCCTCATAGACACCCGGCTGAAAGGAAGGGATTGGTGAGATGGGCTTCCTATTATATTTAGTGTTACTCTTTACATCTTAATCTTGATGAAGTAGAAGTTCATCTTTAAAATGGTTAAACCTCACTATGATTAATACCATGTAATGGACAATTTAATACCACAAAAGTGAAATACCTCTGGGGTCATATGTTACATTTGCATAAATGTTAGAACGATACATCATGGTTAACACTCTCATAATGAAACACTCTGAGAGAAGAAGAAATACTTCACAATTTTCTTGCATGAAAATGTGTAGATACTCTTCTGTAAGTACAGAGATTTAGCAAGAACAATGCCTAACCTTTGGTGTTCTTTTCAATTGTTTCTCCCATTATTTTCTATGCCACCTGAAATTTTAGCCAAATTGAACTTGAATGATTGAAGGAATGATGAAGGAATTCTAATTCAACTTACTTTTTTTATGCACTTACTAAGATTCAGGTATAGTGCCAGGTGTTTTCATTTAATTTTCACAATAACCCCATAGGTATTTTACAGATGAGAAAATAAAGTAACTTGTCTGATATAACATAGCTACTAAGTGGCAATCTGGGATTCAAAGGCAAATTATTTGATTACAAACTTAGTGCTCTTTCCACTATACCATATTCCTTTACCTAAGAGTCCTCCTTGGACTACCCATATAATTCGCTAGTCTTTAACGTATTGCTTGACCCTAGAGAAAAATAATCTTGTGGAAAATAGCTAAATGCCTTTTCTAAGTATTGAAGGCATTGACCTTAGAATCAGATGGCCACCAGTCTCTCTACCACATGCAGAATTATACCTGCTGACTAAACAGCTTTCTAATGACAGACTGAGAAATGGTCCTGGCTTTGGAAGGATGATTATGTGAGTAGAAGGATGAAGATAGACATCAATAATGAAGTTATTCAATCAAATGAAAGAATTGAATGCCTTATTCTATCAGATAGAAAAGTACAACCTTTCTTTTATTGTTCTATTTATAAAGGTCTTGTGAAGTCACAGACTGGGTGGGTAAAGATGATCAGATATATCACTTGTCCTGTAGTGAATGGTGACAAACCCAAAGACTTGGTAGTACTTTTATCATGAAGAAAGTCTCACAAAGATGGGTGAGTATATGAAATTTAAGTGTTACAGCAATGTTTTATAATATAAAGTAGAAAGAAAAAAGAGATGAAAATAAGGAAGTCAATGTAAGCATTTCTGGTCTCGAATGATATTCATCTGAGTTTTTTCTAGATGTACCTTTAGTTATCACTAAAACAAACAACAACAACAACAACAAAAATCTATTAAGTGCTAGACACGTGCAAAGCACCATGAAAGATTTCTAAAGCAGTTCCCTTTCCTTTTGCTCTTTGCAAAAAATTGATATTTAGCAAACCTTTGGAACATTCCACTATCAGTAAAAATCAAATAAAATACCTGGAATTGGTTTAGAATTTACAAAGGCTTGATTGTGCTAGCCTTTGGCAGCTGCCAGCTAGGGCTGTCAATCAGTGTCTCTCCATAGGTTCTCCATAGGTATTAGACTTCTCAGAGAACACTGCATAGGTTCTAAGAGGAAGGGTCCCAAGAGCAAGTGTTCAGAGACAGGAAGTAGTAGCTGCCAGGATAGTAAAGGTCTACCCCTGGACTGGCTAGCATCATTTCTAATGTCAAAGTTGGCCTATAGAAATAATCCCACACATGTATAAATATTAATGCACATGGATTTTCAGTGTAGTATCATTTGTTATGGCAAAAGATATTAGAAATTAACTGAAGCTCCATCTTATAAGTTATGGTAGAGCCATACTACAGAGTAAGTACTGTGCCAGCATTAAAAAGGATGAAGTAATTATAGAGGTACTGATACAGAAAAAACCTCCAAAGACTTATTGTTAAGTGAAAACTCAAATTATAGACCAATTTTTGTAAAATTATTATATTTACATAAAAATCTATATATGTGCATTTGCTTACATAAATGTTATATATTTATAAAAAGGTCTAGAGGGATATGCAAAATGTTAAAAGTGATCTTTTCTAGGATGGAAGTGCACTGTGACTAGGGTAGACTGAAGTAAAACTTCTATATTCTAGCCTGTAGGGTTCCCTATTGTTTGAGGGCTCTTTAAAATAATGGGTATTACTTTTTCATTAAAAAGGAAGAGACTGAAATTACAACCCATTTGGGCACAATAAAATAAGTTTGGAGGTTGATTCCAGCTTTGCAGAGTTATACAAAGAATATGTAATTCTTAGGCAGAAAATACCTGTGGCCCTTATACTATTTCCTGTGCTAGAATGTAGCCATTAGAGAATGTTTTCTAGAAGATCTGCGTCTCTTCATAATTTCACTTCTACCTATATAAATAAATTACATTAACTATACGAATTTATTTTCTAACAACTATTCTTCATTCTTCACAAGTGATCTTTCTGTAACACTTACACAGTGGCAGTGAAGTCAGTTATTCTGCCATCAGTCCCACCTTCTCCATAGTACGTCAGAAGTGAAATTTTATGTGCTGGATTTTCTCATCCATGCTATTGACGGCAGTTCGTGCATCATAAGTTTGATGAAACATCTGTGGGTTATTTTGCTCCTACAGATATGAGAAATCGTTTACTCAGATTTCCTAATTGACTGTAATTCTGCAGTGTATGTCCACACCTGGAGAATAAAGTCATCCTTTCAGATCTGTTCCAGAAGGTCCCCAGGAGAGTAGGGACCTAGCTTCTCCTATGTCAACAAGATTCAGTTCTCTGCTTGAAAAAGCTCCAAGTCAATAAGAAATTAAAATATTATATTTTCTTTTTGAAACAGGTATCTTATTTTAACCAGATTTCCACTAGCATCTTGCCATACTTTGCTGGAAATCCACTGAAGGAGACAGCAGCCTTCTGTATGTAATTCATAGAGAATGCTACTTAGGATGGGCCGGTAAGCATGTTAAATGGCAAACTTTCAATTATCCGTCATATGATTTCCCACTTTTAATTGCAAGCACCCTTAGCCTTGACACTTGACCAGCTTTTGGGCCACAAAATAATTTAATATCGGCCTAAGCAAAATGCAGTTAGGAAGAGATTAAAAAACAAAATATATCTCAGGTCAAATACCATTGATTTAGATTAGCATTAAAAAAGCCTTAAAAATGTTTTAGATGATCTGTGACTCAGCTCCCTTCCAGGGGCACAGGCAATAGAAAACTGCCCATATGCAATATTGTGTGTTCTGTAAAATGGTACATAGTTGGTTTAAGTGATCACAAATAGTTTTAGACTACAGAGGTGAAACATATTCTGTTTGCAATTTTATGACATTTTATATAGTAAAAAATGATAAGTCGGCGAGTTGATTAATAGTGTGGAATTGTTCCATTACATCAGGTATCTGTATGTCAGGAGCATCTGACAAGATGTATTACATGTTTTAGAGCTTTAAATTAGGAAGACATTAAAACATAATAGAATCCAATCAATTTTAGTAATAGGAACTACTTTACTAGTGTCATTTAACATATATTCAAGGTGGCTAACCAATTTTGTATCTATTGCTATATATACACACAGAAAGTACCTGCAAAATGTGATATTGCAGAGAAAGAGAATATTAACTGAGCTCTTCTTTCATAACTATTACATTAGCACTTTATTCCCTAGACTTCAACATTCATTATTCTACTCTGTGATTTGTCTTAACTCATAAGACAAACCAGCATATGTCAAGTTAGCCTCCTCTACAGGATAACTTTTAAAAGTTGAAGGACTTCTCCATTAGAGTTTAGAGCACTTAGGAGATAGATACATCCTAGTGTTTGTCAAATCTCTCCTTCTGCACAGCAAATCTTACAGCTCTATATGAAAAATGTAACTAGTACCTGAGCCCTTCTAATCAACACCACTACAACCTAATCTACATCTTTCTGTTTCTGTTATTGCTTCTCCCTTCACTCTACTCTCAACTCAGCAGTCAGATTTCTTCTCAAAACCCATGAACAATTTTGCATATCAGAAAGTAAAAGCCAACACCCAATAATGGTCTATAAGGCCCTTTATGGTATATTAGATGATTTTTCAGAAATGTTCACTCCGTTACCACCGTCCCCACCTCCATGAATGGAGTGCACTATTCTACCTATTGTCTCTGAGCTTGGTATGTGAGTCGTCAATGGACCATTAACAGACATAATATAACCAAAGGCTTGACAAGTGTTTTTGCACATGGACTTGCCCTCTCCCATCTCTGTCACTGTCATGAGAAAAACATGTCAGGGCTGGCCTGCTGGTTCCAGGAAAAGGAAGAGAGACACGTGGAACAGAGCTGCTTTATCTGACCCTGGCTTAGTTCAGCTGACTCAGAAGCAAACTTCATACAGGTGTGAGCAAGCCCAGCTGATATCAGCAGAGCTGCCCTGGTAAGCCCAGCCTAGATCTGACTCACAGGCATGAGCTAAGTAAATGATTATTTTTGTATTCTTCTGAGATTTTGTGGTTATGCAACAGAAACTAACTGGTAGAACCTATAAACTGTGACCCTATTAACTGTCTAATCTTCTACTAATTTATCTTTCACTCTTTTCCAGTCACATTGGCCCCTTTGCTGTTTTTCAACTACCCGAGCATACTCCTTCCTCAGTATAATTGCATTTATCTGTTATCTCATGTCAGGATATCCAAGGCTTACTCCCTATATACCTCCCTGTATACCTATACAGTGGAATATTATGGATGAATCTTGAAAACACTATACTAAGTAAAGGAAGCCAGTTGCAAAAGACCACATTTTTTTGCTCTTCAATTACGGCAAGCCTGTTCCCTCTTTAGGAGCTTTGACTATTCCCTTTCCCTAAATGCTTTTTCCCATTATCTTTACAACTGGTTCCGTCTTGTCATTTAGATTTCAGCTGAAAAATCTGCCCCTCAGAGGCCTTCCCTTGATTATCCAATCTAAAGTAGATAGTCATTTGCATCATTTCTGGTAATTCCCTTTATATCACTTATTTAGTTTACTCATTTACTCAACAAAAGTGAATGCTTCTTATGTGCTGAGTGAGCAAGAGTCAAAATTCCTGCCCTCATGTAACCTAGAATCTGGTGTTAAGTAGGGGTATGTATTATGGAGAAAATTTAGAGAGCAAGAGAATGAAAAGTTATTGGGATCAGGAAGGAGTTAGTTCCTATAAGGCTGGTTATAGAAAGACTACTGGGCTGACTATAAAGCAGAAGCCTGATGGAAGTAAGGGGAGGTTGGCCATGGGCTTGGAAGGAGGGACCGTCAAGAAAAGAGCAACCTGAGATTCAAGCCTAGTGGCTTAGAATATAATTGTAGTGAAAAAAAAAAAAAACAAAGACAAGAAGGGAAATTAGTCTTTGGGTGTTTTTTTCCAGGGGCATGAGATTGTTTAAAGCCACACTGAATTTGTAAGTGTGACATCCAAATAGGAATGTCCAGCAGGCAGGTGAGAAGATGGGACTGAATCAGGATATTAGGGCTAGATTTTATCAGCCATAAAAAAGTAAAAGATAAGCTTTTAACAAGGGATGACATTTTCAAAGGACTGAAGGAAGAAAAGAATGCTAACAACTAAGTTTTAGGGGATTCAACAATTTTTTTTAAATGTAATAAAATATCCTTTTCTTATATTCCGGTATTTCTGACACTTATTTTTTTCCTGTCACCTCTTCATTCTTCAGTCCCATTAGAATGCATGTGGCTTTGTCCATCTTATTCACTGCTACATACTAAGTGCCTAAGTATAAGGAACATAGCAGGTGCTCAGGAAACATAATGAATACATAAAAGTTTGCCTTCCTCTTTAGGCATTTTTAGCTAAGAAAATGAACATTATTCCTGTGAAGAAACACAACCTCTCAGGATGTCAAAATTTGTTTCTGGTGAATTTCTTTGAAAAAAGTATCCATACACTTTCTTAATGTTATATTCGGTACCTGCAATTTATTTCTAATGATCTAATTTATTGATCATTACAATGTAAACAGTAAACCAAGGAAGACAAGATGGACATTAATATCTCTGCACTGGAAACTGTAAAAAAACAAACTTAACTTGCAGCTGACAGGTTTTCTTTGGCTCCCAATCGAGCAAGTGAAAAAAATCTGGTGCATTTGGACTAAATGACTAAGGCAGCACTGCTGTCCTTGTCCAGCTGCATGACTTATGCAATTCCTGTAAAAGGGCACCCATTTTCCGAGCCATAATATGTCGTGTTTTCCTCTCTCAATGAAAATAAAAGACAGTTCCTATTAAGACTAGAAGTGTTGAGTTGTGCAGACATTAAAACAGAGAAAAGTGTTTCTTTTCTTATTTGGTAAATATTTTGCTTTTGAAGCATCAGTAACTAATCACAGCTGTTTCCTTTAGTTACAAATGGATCCAATCAGGTAACATTCCAAATGAAACACAATCCACCAGAGTCATTCCATTATACAGTACAATGGGAGCCTTAAGCCTCATGAAATATATGTATTAAGTATGCATGTATTCATCAAATCAAACAAAGAAGCTAATGGGTCTCTGATTAGTGTTCTAACTCTTATTATGGTGATACTTTCATCTCACCCTCACTCCTCTAAAACATGTGAACAAAATGTTATTAAATTTGACATACAATCTGTTATGTGCCATCATTCTGGTTAAATGCTCCAAAATGAATTTTGGCTAGAATTGCTTTCTTGAAAATCAAGGGCAAAGAAAGAGCTACGATCAACATGAGGTACTATTCAATTTTAACCTCACCAATATGTAATTCTTTGTCAAAACTAAAACAAATTAACCAAAATTAACCTCATTTAGGACTCATAAGAGATTGTGATTTCAATGGGATTGTTACATTAATGCACAATGGCTAATTCAATACAAAATTAAATGTTCAGAAAAATAATAGTAAATGAGTTTTTATTAAATATTTTTAAAATATAGCAGGTTTTGTGGCAACTTATACATTTCTACTATAATAATAAATTGATACTTTGAACCTAGAAAAAAATATAACCAAAAATTCATTTCCAAATGCAAAGCAGTTTACTCTTTGTTTAGGAGTGGTTCAGATTAATGCATAATTTTGTTTTTAAGAAAAAGATGAGTGTTACATTTAGGTATATAACCACTTAGTTACACCTGTTCTATCTGTTAAAAATAGGTTCTTTTAAAGAATCCAGTTTAAATATCTTATGCTTTTCTTTAGCGATTTTCTCTGTGGAAGAAGTACTCCTTGATGGACAGTAGTCAAGAAACTGACCACGCCCAGATCACATAGATATCTATAATCGGCTTCTCCAAGGGATGCCAGCTCCAACTTCTGAGAATGCCCAGTTCAGAATTTAACAATGAGGTGGTAACTTATGATCATACTAATCATTATCAAAAATTAACAACTTTAGGTATCTTTGTTTTGAGTTGCTGTGGTTTAGGCACATCCAAAATTTCTTCATAGTCTGCACTCATTCCCTTTGCCCAGCGACCAACTGTAACCATTCGATCTGTAAATGAACAGAAAAGTCAGAATGTAAGAAAAACAGTAATCAAATATATCCACCTAGATAGGTACTGGTTTAGCAAGGGAACTAGTTTTGACATGAATAATCATAAGGAGGAAACACTCTCCATCACTAAAGGAAAGTGAGCAATTCTGTAATTGATTATAACCCTTGATTTCGGAGTACCACAGGCAATTTCTCATCCCAATTAGGGAAACGCAGCAACTGCTTTGCAATGCACAAATTGATGAGAAAGCGCTTTCATTCTTTCCCAGAGTTCATCATTATAGAGTCAATGAATTCCAAGAGTCTGTAAACAGCAAGACTTATGAAGCATCAGTTTTAAATGCACAAGATTCCACCTGTGAAATTATACAACATCTGCTTGTCAGTCTTGTCATTTGGGAAGTGGCAATCCTCCCAAGAGGGAGAATTCAAATTCTACTTCATCATTTCAATCTTACTGACTACAATGTAATAAAGACAAGAACTCTTGGTTTTCAAATTTATATGTTAGGGTTAAGAAGTAAGAATGGAGACTTATTTGTGTAGTACTGTGACTATTTGAAATAAAAAGAAATGTGCTTTTTCCCTAAGAAGCACTACTGGGCTATCCTACTGACTTGCTTTCTTTCACACAGGATTACCATTCTAATGTAAGTAAACTAATGTAATAATGGTCTTCACATCCCCCCAAAACTGCCATAAATATAGTGAAGATTCATGAAACTTTTGATGACCAAATGTGGTACTTCATTAGGCAGAATATACAACTAGCCAGATGCTGTGTGGATAACGTAATTTTAGTATTTTCAGCAGTTTTTGCAACCAACTCTTTATCCTTCAAATATACACAAAGCAAAGCATGTATGAGGGTACTCATGAAAGTTATTTTCATATTTATTTTCACTTAGTGAATCAATACTTTAAAAGAATTGGCTCTATTATTAAATTAGTCAGCAAATATAAATGTTTATCAGTAAGATATTTGAAAAAATCAGGGTTCTTTAGGACTGACCGGTCACTTTTTTGTTTTCACCTGAGAACAGCAGCTAATGCTCAGTTATTACTGTGTCCATTGCTGACAGACGCATGATTATCACTGCAGCAGCAACCAGGTTGCCTTAAAATTAGTACCTCAATGAATTACCAATAACAAAATGCAGCAGAAACATAGAGGAATACTTATCTCACCCCTTCCAAATGGAAGCCCAGAGATCTCACCTGAACTCTGACTTTGAGGACAATCTTTCTTAAAATGTTCCACAGAACCACAAAGTCTACAGGAACCACCTGTTAAAAGAACAAAGTCAACGAAAACCTCTTATTCTTACATAAGACTTTTAATGTCTCAAAGCACTTTCATATCTTATTTGGTCCTTACAACCTTCTCAGTTGTCAAGGTAACTAGAGCCAAGAACGTAGGTAGGTGCCACCATTCCTATTCCTCTTGACCTCACAGAGCTCTAAACTGTACTACCTACCATTTCTTGCCTTTGAGGGTGAAGGGGGAGGAGAGAGTGAGAAAGAGAAGAAAGATATAATGGAAGGCACTTGTCCTCTGGAGTATGCAAGAGCCACTGCACAGAAGACTGGATCTTAACCGTGATTAAATAGGAAATGTTTCTGAACTCTTGAACCTGTGAGCCAAATTTGTGTGTTGATACATTTGTCGAGAAGGATGTTCACAGTTTTTTATCAGATTCTCTAATGATGAAGGACCCCCCAAAAGGTTAGAAATTATTGTTCCTTAGGTCAGAGGGGGGTGAACAGTTATGAAAGAAATGAAAATTAATGTTTGTTTCAGTGCCTTCTGCTAGGCACCCTAACCTAATGAAAATGCCCATTTGCCTAGTTTAAGCAGCATTCCAGGATTGTGAATAAAGACACATGTGGTTTCTAAAATGAGTCTTTTGTGTAATGGTCAAGCATTATCATGATCATGCTCATAATGTTAAGTGACTTGCTCAGAAAATGACACTACAGGCTATAAATCTGGTTCAACTCTCACTTCTATTGATCTACTCCCCTTGCTGCATGCTTTTTTTATATCTAGTCATTTTGGTTGCTCATCCAAAGCCATCTTTGCTCATGAGTCATGTTATATGATCTGTTTCATGAGTTCAAAATTGGAAGGCACTTCAGAGCATTTTCTAGGCCCACGACTCTTTAGTGTTTGAAGAACATAGTGAAATAATATATTTAAATCCTCATAACTCTTCAAGATAAATACCATAATTAATCAAATCTAAGATCCCATGATACGATATGTCATTCTTTAACATACCTCTCAGAAAAAAAGAAAACCTGACAATTATGTGGGATCCACCAATGGTTCAGATACATCTTGAGTTTAGAGATATTAAAATGTAAAAAAAATGTGTATCTTAGAATCAATGAAATATGTTCAGTTTTTTCATCTTCATATTATACGTTGTGCTGAGGCTATAAGAGATCTGATTAACTCCGAAAGCTATGCTTTTTCACTGAAGTTCTCCAATGGAACCCAGGACATGTCACAAGAGGTGTCTAGACCCTGACAGTACCAGCTATCACATTAACAAATGTGATTTTATTATGGGGACCTTTAGATATTAGCTGAGCTAAAGACAAAGTTACATGATCCCATGCCAGACAATTAAGGAAAACATTCAGAAACAAAAATTACTACAAATATGAATAGTCTGTACTAGCCCTTCACAAAATGATATGCTAGGCTGAGATGAAATTTACAACTATTTTTAAAATCTTATATTTAAAATCTTACATTAGTTTGAGATATAATCCCTTTGCTTCTGTTATGTTTAAAAGTAGATAGTTACAACATATTCTCATAAATTATGTTGAAGCACACACAAAGAGTTTGAAATATACACCCTAGTTATTTCTGATTTGGTTTATTAATATATCAAATCATATTATACAAAAAGTCCAGTATATAGAATAGCACTAGATAAAAATAATGAAATTCTCGAGGTTTTGCTACTATACAAGAGCTGAGTAAGAGTTGAAATTAAATCACAACTCTGCATGATGATCATCATTTTTGACATATAAGGGTAACAGTACTTACCATCAGCATAGAGTCCTTTGGGATTATCAGGACAAGCTCTGGACAGGTGCCCCATTTCCCCACAAACAAAACATTTCGCAAAAGGAAATTCACCTGTAAAGATCAAACAGTTTCTTTTAAGTTGGTTATGTATAAGTTATGTCATTCATATTATTTTAAAGTGCTCTGAGAAAACATCTGTTTTTACATAATTTAAAATTTTATCTCATGATTTCAAAAAGTGGCATGCTTATAACAAACCTGGTCACCAAAAAATCCCAGTTCACAACTTACTGGCCACTTTCCCCAAATCAAAAACTGATAGAAAATATACACACACACACACATACACACCAAGAGCTGGGTCTACTTTAGCTTTGCACTTGGTTATTTCATGCTCTGTGGATCCACACCGGTAACATATTCCAGTGCCCATATCTTGATTCTCAAGGGCGGCTGGGCAATCTGCAATCCCATGGCCAGGTTGTCTACAATGGAAACAGACCTAGGAAAACAAAATGTGAGTTTACTTTATGAATTCTTGCTATTAAAAATATCTTTAAAACATTTTTCATTTTAAGGTTATCTAGCTCTTTTTTTGATATCTCAACATTTTTCTGTAGAAAAAAAGTGGTTCACATAATCCTAAACAATAAATGTCATATCCATTGGTGTTTCAGTGTTTTTGAAAACGAATCCATCAATCTCAGACACAAAGTTATAAATGGCTTTGTATCTTAACTGCTTAAATGAGTTAAGCAAATATGGACTATACATTTCATTAATGGGGATGTCTGCACTAGAAAAACTGAGTTTTCTGGAATAGAGAATGGCCATAAAAATTATCACTCAAAATTAATACTTGCACTTTTAAAGTTTACATACTTGAATGAATAGGGGTTGAATGATTCCATTTAAATTATGATTCAAGTCATAAAATATATTTCATACCTAAAATTATACCTTACAGTTTTTGTATACTCAATACATATTCTTTAATATTCAAAAAATAGATGTATATACAATTCATTTTAAAGGAATAATTCTAAGATAAATTATTTAGCTCCAACATAACACTGAACAATGGTTTGGTTGCTTTACATACTACTTCACAATTTGGAGGATATTTTTTGCTGCAGTGAATGAGAATATCAGTCATAATCAAAGATGCTAGATATTTAAATTATTTTATTTAAACTAGAAAAAGGTATATATAGTATTTGGATAACAAATCATTCATCATTTAATAATTCTTTTTCCCAAACAAGCATAGGTTTTTTAAAAAAGCAAATTCAACAAATTCAAAATAAAACATAACATTTTGCAATTGTCTTTACTCTTTTTTTCCTGTCTTATAACACTGGAAAAGAATGAGTCCTTTTATTCTTCAGTGAATTTTACATTTAGAATGAGCTGGTTCCAAACAAAGAAAATGCATTTATTCTACAATTGGAGGAAAAGCTAATGCTAAAAAATGGATCACCAAAATAAATAAGTCTTGGATTCTTGGTGCAGTCAAGGTGGTCGCTAACATAACCTGACAGGTTTTTACCTAAACTTCACCAAATACAAGTTTTTTGAATGATCCTTAAATTTAATGTAGATGGGATTGTGGAGAGTGGACTAATAAATTTCTGTATCTTAATTTATTAGCAATTAAGAACTGATGCTTAGTATGAGGTATTAAAAAAGTTCTATGAAAACGAGCTGAAAGTAGGTTAAAATAAGCAATACTATTTAAAGTACTTTAAAGCATTCCTTTTATTTTTGAAAAACAATCTTTCCCCATAATTACAAACAAAACTTCTCTTAAAAAGTCACAGTAGTAAACTTTTTCAAATAGTATGCAATTCACCATAATGCTTATGTCAATGAAATTATCTTTGAGTTAAATTAACTCGACTTAAAAATATTTTTAAATTGTACAATTTAAACAAAACTATCCTGATCTAAACATAAATGATTATCTTTCTATCCCAATTTATCGACAAAGAATGTTTCATCATTCTCTAAATAATTATCTTTAAATATGACACTACATAGAACTAACACTGCAAATAGTCAGAAGCTACGTTTATGGCACCTATGACATTTCAAGCCCACATTGGTACAGTGTTCTACACTTAGTAATTCTAATAAAAAAACGAAAGTGTAAAACTGGTAATAAATCCTGATTCTTATGTAGTATCCTGCTAGAAGACAGGAAATCTACTTACAGCTGAGAAAAAGTTATACTAAAATATTTCATTTTAAATGTCTGACATCATTTAAAATCTAGGGCTAAGCACCACAGAAACAAACCTTTAGCCACCAGCATTCTGCTGAGTATAAGTAATATGGGAAGGTGGGGAGCAATGACTAGGAAGAGTCTCAAAGAGTGTTAACTCTATCACTCTGCTCTGTTACTAACTAGTGTGATTCTTATTAGAACTCCTTCTTATGTCTTTTTCATGGATAAAGACAAAAGAACATCTTTTTTAAGTAATAGGAACCACACATATTTAACCTGTTATACTTAACCTTCCTCCTTATTTTGATCTCTTTTTAAAATGGCAGGCAGAAGTGAGAACATAGGTTTTGAAGACAAACTGTGGGGTTGAAAAAAAAATTATTTTGGGCTGGACTGCATAGTTAGCAGCCCATTTAGGTTCATGTTTAATAACACATATACTCACATAGTGCCAGGCACTATTCTAAGTAATCAAATATTAACACCTTTTCCTGTATTTGAATTTTGCCTCTTATACTAGCTAAGTGGTTTTCAGCAAGATAATTAAAGTTTACATACTTGAATGAATAGGGGTTGAATGTCAGTTTTTTCTACCTATAATATAGGAACAATGCCACCACGTTTGTAGTGTTATTGTAAAAATTACAACAGTACCTTATGAGCTTAGCATATAGGAAGTGTTAAAAAAAAAAGGCCTAATGTTATTACTAGCCCTCAAAATGTACTTTATAAATTTAGTACGGAACAGCAATTAGATTGCTAAAATATATGTGTGTATAATAGTTTCTAGCCATATAAAGTACTATTGTGGTAGAAGTGATAATCTTACCATTGCATTTTTCTTTGCTGCTTGTCTTTTTAATCGTCTTCCTTCCCTACGACTATCTTTCTTCAAAGCAACTGCAATTTCTTCCCTTACTTCCTGACTGTCTGTTGCTATCATGTCCCCATTGTGAACCATCTGTGAGTTTTGCCTTAGGTACTCCATGAATCCATTCACATCTTCATTTAAGTACTCCTTTTTCTTTTTGTTCTTTTTGTGTTTTGCTTGGGGTGCATCATTTTTAAGGGACAGCCTATTGGCTTCAAGTTGTTTACTCTTTGGTCGGTTTTGGCTTTTTTCCTCAAAGGACCCATTCTTCATGTCCTCCCATGAAGTTGCCTGCAAGGGTCTTTTGTTATGTGTGGTAGTAACTCGTGCCCACCTGGTCATGGTTTCATCAGAGATGCTGTATCAATCTTTAAGACAAGCATGGCAGTTAGTCATCATTTAAAAGGAAAAAAAAAAACTAAAGATACATGCTGTATCACTATATCACATATGCCCATATGTTATAAGTTTTGTTAAAACATTTTTTACTTCATTTATATATCTATATAATTTTATAATCTGCATAGATATGGTTGTGAGTAAATCTAGCTCTTACCAGAGAAGCTACCACACAAGTAAAAAAAACAGACAACACACACACGTATTTGCTTAAAACTGGAAAATGAGAAACCAAGTTATTTCACAAAATCTAAATCACATAGTAATACAGTGAATGACATTATCCTTCCCAAATTCTACAGTTTTCCTAGAGGTTTATTTTTTTACCTCTAACTCCCAGGGCTATTTTCTCCCAATCTTCTTGCTTAGTCTGCCCTTTCAACGCAATTTGCATAGCAAATTATATACAGAAATCTTGTCCTTTGGTGTGAAGTTTGTCATTACAACTCTTT